GGGGGGGGGGGGAGTCGGGTGAAAATACGAGCAGGAAAGGCACGGACGTGGGGGTCAACAAGGGTGCATGAAAACAGAGACCTGAAAAACTCGCTACAACCGAGGAAGGTAAAGGAGCCAAAGCCCGCCCAAAACTACAACAACAAAGAGTGACCACAAACGAAAACAACTGCTCTGTGCGTGTCTTGTCTCCCTCCCTCCCTCCATTCCTCCCCCTCCCCCTCCCTCTCTGTCCCCCTTCCTCTGCTCCCCTTTCTCTCACATGAGATAGACCGACAACACCACGTTCTCGAAGTTCCTCAAGTCGATCAACCCGAAGGCTGCCGAGGCCGCCATCATCACCGCCACACCGATGTTGACGAAGTGGAAAACGGATCGGACGACCGTCCTGTCATCGCGCCAGAGAGCCAGATGAAATATGCGGACAGCACGGGAACCAAGGCAGCAGGCAGGGTGGAAACTCACCACGCGCATGCAAAGGAGTAGGCCTGGCTTGAGCACAATTACCATGGAAGCACGAGGTCTTTGTTCTTGAAGCTGTTGCCTTGATGTACAGTCGTATTTGCCAACAAAACACCGCGCATGCTATGTGCTACCCAGGAAACCTCCGCAACTTTCTGTCATCACGGAGGCAAAAGACGACGCTGCCGTGGTCGCAGACTGGCAGCGAAATGACAACGGTACACGAGAGTGCCAACTGAAGGGCATCAACACGCTCCTTCAAATCGGGGGAATCGGCACGCACAAATACAGCGTGTCTGCCGCGAAAAACATGCATTTGACTAAGGGAAAAAACGATCCTTTGGTAACCAACAGGAGCCAAGCGCGGAGATTTCGCTGCACAGACAGGGAACGTCAGGAGGAACACGACCGGCGGCTGCGTGGCCCACGAATCAATCTTAACCTCGGTGTTTGATTCGAAATTGGTACAAGGGCGTCGAGCGCCTATGCCACACACACATCTGGCATAGCCATGTGTCGCTACCAACTCCGGAACCAAAAGTCTGATCGGACACCCCAAGAGCCTCGACACCAGTGAGGTTGGCGTGAAACTAGTCGGTGGCAACGCTTGAACGCAGCGAGAGCACCTCTTCTTGAAACCGTTTTCGTTAGTCGACCATGTGTTTCGGAATGAAAAAACGACCCACGAGGGGGATATCACTGTGTGCTGCGCGGTAAATCGTGGAAATACAGAACTTTCGCTGACGCTATGGATTCATTGCAATTTAATCTATCTTAAACTATTTTCTTAGATTTCTTTGGGTCATACTCAAAAAATAACAAATAAAACGACCGACGAGAATCCAAACTCGCCGCTGATGCGCGAAAGGCGACCTCGGGAACTCCATGTGTCGTGCAACACCACGACTAGCAGCGAGACAAGGGCGGTCAAATGAGGGCATGGCTATTGATCCGCAAGGTGACAGCTGCGCTGAATCTGCAGCGTTTTAGCAGCGGGTCGAGGAGAATAAGCAGCAGCAGCAGCTGCTGAATGTCAAACTTGTCAACAACGTGGAAGAAGGTGGTGGGGACTAACCCTAACCATTCAGGTTAAGACAGCAGGGGATGAAATTACCCACAGGGATCGTTTTGGTGGCGTGCCCCCTGAGCACTTCATTCACATCACAAGGATTCGGATGGGCACTCCTGGGTGTGATCGGACCCTCCTTTACATTCTACCCCCGAGTTTAGGGTTGTTACATCCTGTGCCACCAACCTTGGGTGGGGAAAAGCGGTATATTTGTACAGTGAACCGAAACAAGGGGTCTCAGGCACTCAATTCTGCGGCGGCATTCCTCATGTTCTCAACGCTTGGGTCGTGCCTTTCAAGACTTGAGGGGTGCAAGGCGGTGCCACCGACAAACAATAACAACAACCTTACCTTGAAATGGTCTGTATCGGTACAGCGTACTCCTGTGGCACATGCCATGTTTTAAAGTACAAAAAAAATACATTTCAAAAACGGAGAATGTACGCTGTTGTGTTGTGTGTGTGTTTTCGTCCTATTTACTATGGCGACAGTCCCCCCATTTTTCGTGGTGCGACGTGTACAACACTTTTCAGCGCATGTAGAGTGCTACACTTTTCAGTGTATTATTTCGTACAACTACAACCATCCAGGGTCACACAGGAGGGGGTAAACACCAGGGCTTTTTTCTTCTACTTTATTTCTTTTCATGCCCCACCTTCCTCCTGCGGTGCGTGCTGAATTCTATTTTTATCGCGAAAATGGTCCATCCAACCGCACATTTCGTTAATTTTCACCCCATGGGGATTCGAACTTACGACCTCTGCGACTAGCGGATTACGAGGATACCACTATTAGACCACCGGGGCGACCGGTACAATGCTACTATGTAAGTTGCTGCTGTTGTTTGTCGACGGCACCACCGTAAATCACTACGAGGCGTGTTTGTACTATAGCTGTGCTGTTGCTGCTGCTGTGGAGCTCTTGTGTTATCTGAGAAACGCACGTGGTACCCGAAGTGAGCTCACTTGCCCTTGCGTGAGAGAGCAACCGAATACCAATGCTGAAGCGATGATTCCTCGGTCACGTCCCAGGTAAACCGATCATCTACGCATACACATTCGTTCACTTGCCTTGATCTGTTGCTTTCGCATCGTGGCGTTTCCTCTTTGCCTGGTTCGCGCGCACAGCCCTGAGTCTCAAGGCCGTGCATGCGGACCAAGAAAAGAGGGAACGCCGCGACGCGAAAACAACAGGCAAAGTCAAGACCGGCAATCAGGTCACGGCTTCGTTCCCAACGCCCGCTAAACGAGCTGCATAGGACCGTTGAGAATGTCCCTCGCTAGTGTGGTGGTGGGTTGTCGGTTAGTTTGGCGGACAGGCGGCAAGCGTGTGCTTGCGACTTTGTGTTGTGAGAGAATTTGTCGTGGAGGTATGGATGCAATCTTGAGAATATCCTTCACACAGTCAGCAGCAGCCAGCAACAGGCCGGGCCATTGGAGAGATTAAATCGGCCTGCGGAGCCTTTGGAAAGATGAGCTCGCACACACGAACACAGCCCTCAGAGGAGAGGCCGTGTGTGCACCCGTGGAATTGATGGTGACGATAATGGGACACCCATCCAACTTGATCCATCCTACAATGCTGAGGTACGTGTGTTGGATTCCCGTTCACTGTCGTGTTCGGAGGCACGGCAAGAAACGCCACTATGCGAAAATAACAGACTAATGCAAGCGAATGACAATAATCACGGCCGCGGTCACAATACCGCCGACCGCAGATAGATCGTTCCGTGCCCTCCTTCCGCGGGAGGCGGCGGGGGGTCATGGGTGCCTATCCATTCTACGCCCACAGAATGTACCGCTGAAGGAGAAGATGCCAAGGTTGGCAAATGCTTTGTGTCTGACGCGTGTCCAACGCCCCTTCCTAATGGCTGCTTTTTGCGGCCATCACGTCACGGGGGGCACGTTCGGTTGATGTGTGTTGCATGTTTCATGCCCTCTCCGTATGCAACCCACCTCTGCTTTGTGTGCCGTGACAGCTTATTTCGCCGCAGCAGTGCACGCGCGGGTCGATACGTGCGCTCATGCTACTGTCTCTTGCATTTGCACGCTATGCAATGCCAACAGCTAGCGTTGGGTGCATAAATAATCACCACTGCAGGGCAGCAAGGTAGGTACATGGGGATGGCCACTCAGGGTAGTGTCCAACAACGTTGATGGGTGAAAGGTAGAAGGATGAATGCCGTCGTGGGAAGAGCGAGCGAGCGGGTCTTCGTTCCCTCCGAACCGAAAACATTGGGCAAAAAAACTCACGCGTCTCCCGACCGACTTCCAGCGTTTTGTTGAGCGGGAGCGCCGCCCGAAGAGGTTCCAGGGGGCGCTGCTGCCTGCCCGGTGTTTTGCATCCACGATGGCTGGTCCATAGCTCTCTCCCCGAAGCCGCAGCTGGCCGTCCGCGCCTATATTGGAATCCAACCGCCTCGATCACGTTCCGCTCCACAGGGATAACAGAGCCCACACACGTTCGTTCTTCCGAGTGCCCCCTTTTGTTCGCCTGACCGCCGCCTTCTACTGCTATCTCCTAACTCCCTTGGTAGATGGCAACGCACTGCTGTGCTGTTATAATGTTCTGCACACGCGCCGGACGTGGTGCGTCTGCTGTGCAACGGCGCGGTCAACTAACCGAACAGCGATCTCCTCATAGTGTACAATTCCTGGCGAGGGAGCTCCGTGACGTGAAACACGGGATACCCTCGTTTTTCCCCCCTCCTCTCGCAGCGCTCGCTCCTCTGGCAGCCGGATCTGGCTCTGTCCTGTTGCTCGTTCAACGCACACACACCTGCTCCCCCCCCTACGAAACAGAGAGCGCTTGAACGAGCACGGTGAGCGCAAACACGCACTCTAAGTAGCTGATGATCGTCCTACCTTCACCTGCTCCATACCTTTGTTTGTGTGTCAGCGGCGATGTCTTCTCGATGTGTATCAAAACTTGTCCTTCCTACCCTTTCCCCGCTGTCCCGCCTGGATTGCACAGGTGGTCCCCGATGAACCAAGACCGAGAAGGAAGACACCAAAAACAGTCTTGTCATTCGCCCGCCTCCTACCACGCGTCGATGTGATCCCTAGCGCTCATCAGTGATCACCCCCTCTTGTTGTGCCCTCCTTCCTTGATGATTATGTTGTACCAGGACCCTAGACGCTCAGGACTTCTTAGGGACTAGGCCGGAAGGGGAGCGAGCGCCTGCGCGTGCGGCTGCTGCTGCTGTCGCTGAATCTAACACGGACTGGCCACGGGAGCCGTAGCTAGCTTGCATAGCCGTAGAGCCGCCCTCGGCTCAAGCATACTAGGCGTGCCGTCATATAGTGGCGGGGTTCTGGAGGTGCAGCGTCACACGACGAGTGCAAGCAAGACGGAGAAGAGGGTGTGGCATCGATCGGAGCCTGTTCGACCGACGTTGCCCCTCTGCCGCTGTTGTTGCTGCTGGGGTCGATCGGCTTGGCACTGGCCGGCGATCAGAGATAAGAAGCGATAGCCCTGCAGGAGTAGAAACCCTGTCGTAGCAAGCTCGAAGCACCTCGGGTGTTCTCTTCGTCCTTTCGAGTTCTTTTAGGCTTGTGTGTTTTGTCTTTGCCGAGAGCCTGCTCCCTCTTTTCGCGTGGAAAGAAAGTGAGGGTGTGGTTTTGTGTGGGTCCGTTGTAAGCTTGTGCAACAAGGGTCATCTTGTGTGAGCAAGCGCTGACTGGTGTTCGTTTGAGACTCGCCGTAGGGCGAGAGAGAGAGAAAAAAAGACGATAAAGAAAAGAGAAAAACAAACACCATGGGCAAGGTTACTCTCGAAGAGTACATTGACCTCTTCCGCGGCAAGGCGGAGCAGATGGGCGAGTTCCCCGACAAGATCATAATCAACGCCCTCACTGGCACGGCCAAACGCCACCGCACTGACAAGGCGCAGGCTATCGCCACGGTCCTCCAGAACATGCTCATGGACCCCAGCCACCCCGCGAAACATAAACTGCCCATATGCTTTCTTGTGGACTCCCTCGTGAAGAACATCACCGATCCTTTCGCCGACCTGTTCGAGAACGGCCTCACGCGCTGGTTCTGCAGCGCTTACGACGCTGTTGACGAAAAGAGCAAGGTGCGAGAATCTTTGCAGTTGGTTGCTGCTGCTGTAGCCGCTTTCCCCGTGCACGTACATGTACTTCCCCAGCCGGCAGTGTGACGTTCTTCTGATTTGGAGTACATGGCGCACAAGCTTTTTTTGGCCAGCGCGTGAGTTCCCCTGCTGCTTGAGTTTTGTTAGCGCCCTTCTTTCGGGCGGGGGTACTGGAGTGTTCCTGCTGCGTGCTGCGTATGCACGTGTATCCTGCTGCTGCAGACGCCATTTTTTGTCATCAGCGTGTATCGTGATTGCTGCGTTGTTGGGCCCGTTTGGCTGCAAGAAGCAACTGCTTCATGTCGGAAACGGGTATTTTTCGCCGGTCAAGCGCTCTCATGCTCTCAGTCTCGCAGTACCCGGACCGTCACACATGCATCCTAAACCGCTATTGACACAAATGCTCGTACGTAAGACTATGGGTATATTGCGCGCAGAATAACTCGCGGCATTCACATGTACAGACCAGGCAGCAGCGGCAGCAGCACAGCAGCAGCAGCAGTGTTGCAAAACTACAGAGTGTATGTACGACGCCGGTTTGAATATCGCCGGTGGCCCTATCTAGCGCCGGTGAAATTGCTGGGCACAGACTGGATCACCAAGTCATTCTGTAGTTTGAATAGCGGCAATCCTTCTGAATATCGCCGGTCGTTTAGCCGGGCACATACTGGCGTTATTGAGGGCCCACTTTGGTAATCTTCATTCTTATGCCTTGTAATCCCGGATACATAGCTTTCCCTTTTGACTACTACGAGTAGCCTTCACTGTGTAACCGTGTTTACCAAGCTCGCTGTAGCCTTGCAGTTCTACGCGCAGCAGCACCCACGCATCTGCATCTGACCCCAAGCTCACGCATATTCAAAGGGGCTTCCAACTCCCTCCCTTCGACGTTCGGTGCACGCAGAAACACCTGGGCAGGGTAGTGGCGACATGGGAGGTGCAGTCGATCTTCAGTGCCGACAAGCGCAAGGAGATCCAGAGGTACATGCTCAACGCCAAGCCCGCGGCCGCGTCGCTGTCTTCCTCTTCTCCGTCTCCGCCTCCGGCGACCACCACGGCTTCGACCTCGGCGGCGGTGACCGTGACGACCGTGCCCCCGCCGTTGCCGACGGTAGCGCCGTACCAGCCGCCGCAGCCGCAGGCTCCGCCCGGCACTCCCGTCGCGGCGGCCGCGGTTCCGCTGCCGCCGCCCCTCCCGCCGCTTCCCCCGGCATCGGCCGTGGCTACCCCGGTGGCTGCGCCAGTGGCTGCACCAGTGGCTGCGCCAGTGGCTGCGTCTGTGGCTGCGCCTGTGGCTGCGCCAGTAGCGCCAGACATCCAGGCGATGGTCGATTCTAGGATGAAGCAGCTGCTAGACCAGCAGGTGAGTTGCGAGGTCAGATAAGGCTTTTACGCAAGGTGGACGGTGGCGTTGACGGTGGTGTCAAATTGGGGCAAGTTGGGCGGTCGTTCAAACACGTCTCACAATCAGCAAGTGTGAGGATGTGAGCTCGAATGTGTGGCACGTGAGGTATGCATAGTACCCCGATGTTTACTGTCCACCCCAAGCTACGGTAGGCTGATGACATTACGCGGACGAGTGGATGGCGTCCTTGCTGCTGTGACCGATATGCACGCCCTTAGCTTCCCGAAGTTTTTCATGAAGCGACCCTCCCCCTCTGCCCTTCCTGTCTCCCCCATCCAGCTTCTTGAGCTTGGGGAGTCCAGCACCATGAGTCTGGACGACCTATGGCGAACAAACGCGGAGCTCGCGTCCGGCTTCCGGCTGGTGGCTCAGGCACAAGTTCACGAGCAGCTCGGTCTTCCCCCACCGCCGCCCCCTCCGGCCATCATCATCGGCCCCCTCCAGCAGCAGCAGCAGCAGCAGCAGCCGCCCCCACATCAAACCGCCCCGCCGCTACCCCAGGTGCCGCATCAACAGCAGCCCCCTCAACAGCCACAGCCGCCGCCGCAGCAGCAGCAGCAGCCACCGCGATCACAGCCACAGCTGTCCATCCAGCTCCCGCTCGGGACCCCCCCCCCATGGGCGGCGAAAGCCCCGCCGAGTCAGGACTTCGGGCGTGCCGTCCAGGTCGCGAACGAGGTCGCTGCGGGCGCGCGGGTGGCGCTCAACGCGAGCCTGCGAGGCGACCTCTCCGGGGCGCAGGTGCAGGCAGCCGAAGCGGCGGGAAAGGCGGCGATGCTAGCGTGCTTGTTGGGGGGCGACGCAGCAGCGGCGGTGGGGGGGGGCTTGGGCGGCGCAGGTGCCGGCGTCGGGGTGTACCTCGCCGACCTTGACCCGTTGGACGTGCGATCTCTGGCCAGGGGAAACCCGGCGGCGGTGCGGCGGCTGTACGGGGAAGGGTTCCCGTTCTGGTGCAAGCAGGACGGCACCAGGTTCGCGAAGCAGGCGCAGCTGGACGCGCACATGGACCTCCTGTTCCGGCGGAAGCACGCGAGAAGAGAGCAGAAGGGGGTGGCGGCCTCGCGCGAGTGGTACTGCACCGACGAGGAGTGGATGACCGACTTCGGGCGGCTCGCGCCCCCGGCTGGGTTGGGCGCCGGGGACGGGGAGGCGGAGAGGGATGCGGGGGGGGGCGGCGACGGAGAGGAAGACGGCGTGGCGAACAAGGACGCCGACCCGGACGGGTCCAAGTCGTGCGTCCCGGCGGACGAGAGGTTTTCTAAGTGCCGGATCTGTGGGGACCGTTTCTTGATGTTCTACGATAACGACGAGGAGGAGTGGATGTACCGAAACGCCTGCTACGTCACGGTCAAGGGCGGCGGCGAAGGCGAGGGTGGCGCGGGAGAGGACGAGGAGGAGGAGGAGGAGGAGGAGGAGGAGGAGGAGGAGGAGCCGGTGGGTGCGCCGGGGGAGGCCGCGGGCGGGGCCAGGCAGATCATCGTGCACAAGCTGTGTCTTGACGTTAGCGGGCTCCGGGACAAGGACGAGATCACGTGGGCAGACCTCATGCCCGGGACGCCGCGGCAGAAGAAACGGCCGGCCGAGGGGGGTGACGCATTGGATGCGGCATTTTTCGGGGAGGGCGGCGATGACGCGGCGGAGCAGGAGGACGAGAAGGACGGCGCGGGTGAGACAGGCGACAGCAGTGGCACCCGCGTTAGCGATAGTGACGGTGGAGACGGTGGGGGAGATGCAAACGGCGGGCGGTCGCACGGTGAGGGTGACGGGGAGGATGACGGGCCACCGCTCAAACGAGCCAAAGCGGAGGGAGCGGCAGAGGAAGAAAATGGGTTAGGAAAGTTCGACGCGACGGGTGTTGTGAAGGCGGAGGAAGGGGTTTCGGGCGCAGGGCAAGGCGAGGTGTACGACATGGACGAAGAGCTGGATTTCGAAGCGTGATGCGGCGTTGTATTTGCCGTGCTCTACGCCCTCCCCCGAGAGTGCGACGCAACCCCTGTGTGGTTCGTATGTCTTGTCTCCTTAGATTGGTTTATTTTAGTAGAGCTTTCCGTCCTCATGGCGGGTGGTGACCGCATGTGAGGTTGTGATTGGTTCTTTTGGCTGAGTCGAGATGCTCGAGTTGCGTCGTGACGTCGCGAAACACTTGGGAGTCGAACGAATTGTCACACCACAACACTGGTGAAGGCTTGGTTCTTTTTATAGCCTCTGTCCTGCGCGAGAAGCATGTGTAATGATTGGTAGGTCCGTGATTCAAAACATTTGGCTTGAGAGTAATCAGATCACATACTGTAGCTGTCAGGTGTCATGGTTCCCCAGGTACAGAGTGTATGTAGAACGTGTTGGGTTGCCGCACCACTCCCATCCACCTTCTAGGCGAGGGTTACGATGCCGTTTTACCGCATGTGTCGCGACGGTTCCATTTTGGTCGCTGGGTCATGGCCTGGCTTTGCCCAATGGAGAGGTGCTCGTACAATGGTGCATGACCGAGTTGAGCGAGGATGCTTTTGGTTTGTTGGCACTTGGTTTGGCGTGAGGGGTGGCAGGTTTGTTTCAGTTTGTTTGCTGGAGTGTTTTGATGCGTCCGCGAGCGTACGCCCGCAGGTCATTCATGATGTTGTGCACCCTCTTTTTGCGAGTGCATGTTTGAAGGTGGATACAAGTCAGGGCCACGGTATTTGTGCCGCTTGGTGTTACGTGTCACGTGCATTTTTTAGCTGTGTCTGCCGGCAGCACTGACATCGCTGCATTGGGTTGTGTACCTGCAAGTGTGACAAGAAATACGAGAAGAATGAGAGAGAGAGACAGGCGTTGGTGTGCGAAAGCGACGGAGAACACGTCAAACGGCAAAATGATGAAATTTGGATTGGATTGTATCGGCGACAACCGGGAGAACCGCCCCCCGCTTGCCGGGGACATGATCTAAAAGGAGAGCGCATGATCGGCCGAACGGCTCCCTCGTCGACTCGTCGATGTCATGCCGCTTCTTCTGAACACACACTCAGTCACGTGTAGAGTCAATTCGACACTCACGCACCGTTCCGGTGTCGTTGTTGTTGTCACCCCACCTCTCACGACATGAAATTTCCGAGAGGAGATCTCGAGGGGGCGGTTTACGCCGCCACCTGTTCGGCACCGTCGCTGTAGAGATCGAGCTTTGAAACCGGTCCAGGGGGTGTTGTAATATCATATGCAATCTTCGGTACTAACTGTAAGTTGTGAGGCGGCCGACAGAGACAACACCCACCATTTACCTATTTTACAGATCGGCCGCGTCTAATCTAGCGTCTACTTCTCCCTTCTTCCCCTCGCTCCTCGACAAGCTTTTGCTTAGACATGGGTTGTAGTGAAGGGGGGGGTCTTTCTGGCGAGCAGGGCTAGATTCACCCTCAAGGGATGACCGAAACCTTCTTGCTGCTGCGCATATCCGCCGCGAGGCATGCGCGTGGTGGTGTAGTTGGGTCGGCACTGATGGGGTCAGGCGAAAAAATGTAGATGCGCGGGCCTCT